AACAAAGAACTTTGTTGTTTCAATTTCATGTCGCTGTCGGGCATGGTTTTGCATATATGAGCATGTGAAGCTCGAAGGCCGATTTTCATGAAAATTTGGCTTTTGAAATGGAGTGAGGTCACTTATTAACCTAACTACATAATACCGTTAACAATTGCGAGATCTCGTTCAGGGCAATCAAATGATGCGTTGTTTTGCGATACTCTATCTTTCCTAATTTAATAAGGTTTTACATCGACTCCTGCTCTCCCGTATTATTCCGCGTTATGAAAGGCTGCCAACTAGAGCGGGAGTTGCTGAAGCTGTCTAGAACTAAAAGCTATCGAAACAAGGAAGGAAAAAAAGAAATATAGAAAAAAGAAAGCAGACAGAAGCATATTGCTTCATAGTATGGCGCGCACCGTATGTATCCGCCGTGGGCCACGTGCTGTTTTTTTTTTGTTGTTTTTTCTTAGCTCAAGGAGGCTATTCTCGCGAGGTGTGTATTTTTGTTATCCCGGGGACGGCGTCGCATAGGCTAGGCTAGCAACGGCGATCCCGTTGGAGTATGGGCACGTTCAGACAGTACAGCAACAGCGACAGTCGGCTGTCGCAGGGACATTGAGGCGGACAGAGCGATGGGAGACCGTATTGGCCCGACGCGCCGACGGCCGTGCGCTCGGTGCCTACGCCAGGGCAAAATGTGGGCCCGGCGGGGGAATCGCCGACCTTTCGGCGGCTCCCTGGGATGCCCGGTTTTTCCCTCTCTTTAGACCAGAATACTTAAGTTAAGTCCCCTCTCTTTAGACCAGTCTTCTTAAGACGCGTTCTGGTCTAAGTTCAAGTTGCGCGTCACATTGGCAAAATCTACAGAACGTGTCTTCTTAAGACGCGTTCTGTGGATTTTTTAGATTGCGTAAGCGCACATTAACTTTTATCCGTTATATGTCGTGCACTCTTTTCGTGTTTGCATCGCATCGCAGTATTTAACACGTCTAAGGATAAATGTGCCGCTAGTGTGCGTTGCCAAATGGCAGCCTACCCCTGCCTGGTAATGCTATACACGCTTCAATGAAAAGTCTGCGGCAAAATAGTAGGGCAATGAATACCGTGCAGCCTGAATTTGTTCCACGAAGGAGGAAGCGTCGAGTTCAGGTCAGTGACGTTGATATCTCTATCTTGCATGACTCATATACTGCGGGCGGCTTAGAGCGACGATGAATTTCCACGAGTTCAATCGAATTTGCGTTATCCTGACGGGACTAAATGCCTCGCAGATGCTTGACTCAATGACTCCTCGTGGGTAGCGATGGAGGTGGGTCTACGAGTCACATTGGCAAGGGCTCCTCGCGGGTAGCGATGGAGTATTGTAAGACGATGACAAATTCCGGCTGGCCGACAGGTGGTGTCGGCATAGTTCAGTGGCGATAGAGACTGGGAGCTGCGTGGTGATGTCAAGGTGAGCCCTACACCAGGGGGCTACTATTCGCTGGATACAAATTTTGAGGCATGTGTGGTGTAAGGCTGCACGGTTCTGCCCATAACCGCAGAGGTCTAATCGTTGCACATAGCATGCGCAGACTGCGTACAGCAACCACACAATAGGACTTCCATTCAACACGTGCCCGGGTGGGGGATTAGATGAATCCGCAAGGATTTTCCGGAACAGCTTACGAACAGCACGGCGTAGCCGCGCCGAATTTTGCTTAGCTGCTGATAATTTAATAACGGATCGTGTGGTGTCAAAAAATGGGATGTACCTTGTAAGGTCGCTGATCTACAGCATGTCAAAGTCAGTCCATGGATTCAGCGAGGTCAATGTCAAGGGAATCGTTCAATCTGATAGAACAGCGGAGTGTTAGACTAGCCATACACCTCTGAGATACTTTCTTAGGCAGCACAACACTTAAATGACCAAATTATATTGATCTAGGGTCAGATATAAAGGTCAAACCAAGGTCAAGCAACACCATTCTGTTTTCTTACTCTAGAACTTGCTGTGTGGGATAGTTTCTGGTGCTCATTTCGAATTCATTGATGGAAGGAACCGCATTAGACATCTTCCATGGACTTTTTATAGGTCAGAATAGGTTGCTGACCTAAAACGACCGAGGTCAGCATTTCGTTTTTAGGAACATACTGACTAACTTAATCTCTGTCGTTTGTTTCAATGCAAAACTCAGAACAGTCTTTATGATTTTCATCACCATGACCTTAGAAAGGTCAAACAAGGCCATTGACTTTGAATGAGCATGTGAACTTTTTCTTAGAACACGCATCTAGGTTTTTAAGATACTTTGGAGACCATCTTGGAGTTTGACCATTTTTGACCTTATTTGACCCGAAGGCCATGACTAAGATGGCTCAAAATTTGACCTCAGTGAGTTCACGTACGGGCCAACACACCCTGTAAATTTAGTGTCTCTAGCCCTCTTGGTTCTTGATCTCTTCGGGGGTCGAACTAACCCCGCCCACCCCAGCGAAGGGTATACAACCCGTCACCCGGGCGCGTGTTAATATGACCGGTGACAAGCGTGCATGAGACAGCGTGAATGTATGAATGCTAGTTGCGGAATTTCAGCGAAGTACCGTTTGCTGCCTATGTTAGGACGGAAGCATCTGTTTCGTAAAAGCATATGTGCCGTCGGTGAGCCAATGTTTGCACCAGCATTTGCAGTCGCTTCCAGCTAGTCGTTTTATGACAGAGGACTGCCTCGGTGATAACTACCTGTGTGTCAATGCAATTGGCCAGTTAATTAGCCAAGAGCCATTATTAACAATGTCATATATAAGTAATCCAAGCAAACAATAATTTCCTGTAGTCCCAAAGAGCCTTTTTTCTTTTGTGAGGTTGATTATTTGTAAGAACATTCGCTACCTCTAGACAACTTGTAGGCCTTCAGTGGCTGCCACTCGTACTCGAATGATCGTGTTGCAAAGCCCCAATAATTGGATCAATGCGAGAGGCAAAGGTGCTGTCAATCATTTCCACACGCACAGCTAGTCCAAACAACTAAATTAAGATATTTCATAAGCATCGGTATTCTGACGAAGAGACTCTATTACCTCGCTGGACAGTATGCGCCAGCGTGTTCAAAATATGATGCATTACATGACGGCATGTGCGAGTACATAACTTATGAACCATACAGAAACCTAATCCAAATCATTGAGTGAGGCACGGTGCTTGTTGCTTTTATGTATGTTGGGCGTTGGGAATCACGTGATTGCCGTTTGGCATCAGTGAGAAATCCGTCGGGTGAGCATGGCAATATTGTAGAGAAATGAGAAGCCAGTACTCGTAGTTAAGTGGAGGGCAAACATCGAGCTAAAGGAAACCACGATGCATGCAAAAACCGAGCGTAACATATTGGCGGTCCGTAGGGGTGATGCCTCCTAAGAGAACAAGAGAAGTCATCGAGAATCTCAATTCTCTCAGCAAAAAAAAAAAATCCCCGCATAACAATGGCATACATTGCACTGCTAGGTATGTCCCATCAAATGGTGAAGGCTTGGAGACGATCAGAACGATAAGCTCTTTATAAGCTGTATGCAGGTAAGAACTCTAGAACTTGTGAAATATGACGACTCTTGGCCGGACCAATAGTCGCCGAATTTTTAACTGTAGGAGAGAGTCATGTATGGCACATCCTATGGTGAAGGTTTTGCAGCGATCGGTTCGGTTGGTTCTGAGAACTAAGTTTTCTGCAAGCAAGAATTTTGGAATTTGTGAAAATCGGCGACCTCTTACTGCACCTTCACCAAATGTTCAACGGTAGAAGGAAATCAGGTATGGCGGATCCATTGCTGCAGGTTACGCAGCGATCGGGTCGGTAGGTTCTGAGACCTGTGTTTGTCTTCTTTTGCATATAAAACTTTCCCTAAGACGTTTTCGAGATGTTTTACCTCAAACCAGATCTCGATGATATTTTCTTTTTGTTACCCATCTTATTCTATGTAATCAGTCGGTGAGGCTTTCCAGGCGATCAGACTAGCCGTTTTACAGAACAAGCGTGTCGGCTTCATGCGCCAGTCTTTTAGACCCGTACCGTCGACGTGCCGCAGATTTATGCTCCAGCTTGTTCCGTTTGTTCCCGGCTGGGTGGGTTGGGTGTGTGAGTGGGGGGTGTTGTTTATTGCTGTTCTGTACCACATAGAGGAAAATAAAGGAGCTAGATGTTTTCAAAAATCGTTTGTGTATTTACTGGCACCAATATTGTATGGTTTGCCCTCTAGATTCGGTTGATTTTTATGGTTTTAGAACGTTCGAGTCCTATGAGGGGGATACCCGGAGTATGTCAGACTTGTAAACAGAATGCGATGCTATCTGCGGTACTGATTGTTTCCTGTGATATGTGGGGAGCTTCAAACGCTGAATGTGCTTAACGTCAATCCTGTCTTACTCAATCACCTGAAATGGTTGTAACATTGAAGCCTTAGCTATATTTGGTTATTTGGTTTTTACATCTATGTGCTATCTTTTGGTCATATATATATATATATATATATATATATATATATATATATATATATATATATATATATATGTGTACAAAAATGTGTCTGTGATCTCAAGAGCTTGCTCTTCATATCACACCATTTTGTAAGCAGGATCAAGGAACAGTTATGTGTGAGATCCTTTAGTGCACTATGCAGTCATGATAGTGTATATTTTTACTGGGGACATCTTGAATTGTAATTTTACTGTGAATGTGTTCATGATTACTTATTTTAGTATTGTCTTGTTGGTGCTGTTTATGCTGTTTCAGTGGAAAACTGCTGAATACCAACATTTTGATAATGTTATATATGGGCCCTAGAACTGGTTATTTATTTTATGAAAAGGGTGTAGGTGTACTTTCCTACCTAATGTTAGAAAAAATCGTTGCACCCCATTCGTCATGTTTAAGGTGGCACATGTCGCAAATAATCTCAAAACAGGTAGAATCATGCTCCTACCTTCGAATTTCAATAACTACGATGGCGAGCTGCCAAGCGCCGTGCGCACCGCACCACCTGGACTCCCCAGCGCCGTTTCTGCGTTGCCGTTACGTAAATACAATATTTCTGCTTGCCAAGAACTATACAAAATGTATGGGTCCAAGGTAAACCGTTCGCCGTGTTTAAGGCGGAACATATCGTTAACAATCTCAAAGCAGGTAGAATCATGCTCCTACCCTCGAATTTTAATAAATACGATAGCGGGCTCCCGAACGCCGCACGTACTGTACCGCACCGCCTCGGCTCCCAAGCGCCGTTTCTGCGTTGTTGCGTAAGTGCAATATTTCTGCTTGTCAAGAACCATAAAAAATGTACGGGACCCAGGTAACAATAATAAAGCTATCAAAATCATTTCTTTTCGCGTTTAGGTATGTTTATGAAACACAGGCCAGAATAGTCCAGAACATATCCTATCCTATCCTAACCTAACCTAACCTAACCTAACCTAACCTAACCTAACCTAACCTAACCTAACCTGGCCTAACTTCATGGATTCTTGCTACCTTGGCCTGGTACATTTTTATGGTTCTTGATGCTGCTTGATGCGCAGTAATGTTGTGACCGCGCGCAGTAATAGCGCCGGTGTCGCGGCTGCTGTGCGTGTGCGGCACTCGGGAGCTTGCCATGGCAATTATAAAAAAAATTGAAGGTAAGATCACGAATCTACCTGTTTTGTGATTATTGATGATTTTTCCTGCCTTAAACATGACAAATTGTGTACAATTATTTTTTCTAACATGAGGTAGGAAAGTACACCATGACCATGAAAAGAGCTGTAGCATGCACCTCTTACATGAATGATATCTTTCTTTGCTTCAGAAGTTTTTAGTTTATGCTTTAATACCACTGCATACTTTGGACATTACAAAACCTTCACAGGAGGGTGCATGCTCACTAGTATCTCTTCCATCACGACAGTATACTCGGGCACAGCCGTTTAGCCAAACACACAGTGAAGAAGTGGCAATATGTCAAATCCTGTGTATGTAATCAGCACATTTTTCTGGCTTTAGAGCAAGAAAAGGAGGAAAAGTCCTTTGACATGTAATTTTGAAACTTCATGGTGTCATTAACCACAACTTGTGCATCAACATGCCTTCTGTCTGACAGGGGCTGCAGTTTGGCAGTTGGTGCTCATCTGCCATAGGCCCACACAGAAAAGCAAGAAGTCAGCCAACATGGGGCTGCGTGGAATGCTGCTGGCACCATTGGTGTCTATCCTGCTGGGCTATGCACTCAACCGAATCCCAGTGGAGATTGTGACAGAAAGCCAGTTCTACAAGGAGGACCGCTTCGGCCTTCGCTCGGCGTTACAGCACGCCCACGAGCATGTCGTCTCGTGTCTGAATGCCCTGGTGAGTCGGGTGACACCCCTGAAGGAGGCCGTGCAACGCAGGGTGACGGGCCTGTTCTCAGGCTCGCCACCACCACCGCCGCCGCCGCCGCCCGCTCCCGCCGGCGACTCCAAGCCGACGTCCAAGCACAAGAAGCGCTCGGGCCGCGGTACGGCCACCCGCCTCTTTACGCGCGAGGAGCTGGCCGAGCACGACGGCTCCAACCCGCGCAAGGGTCCCTACCTGGCGCTGCTGGGCCAGGTGTTTGACGTGAGTCGCGGCCGCCAGCACTACGGACCCGGCGGTGGCTACGCCTTCTTCGCCGGCCGCGACGCATCGCGCGCCTTCGTGTCGGGCGACTTCAGCGAGGCTGGCCTCATCGACGACGTGGAGGGCCTCTCGACCCAGGACTACCTCGGCCTGGACGAGTGGCTGCAGTTCTACCGCAAGGACTACCGGCCGGCCGGCCGGCTGGTCGGCCGCTTTTACGACGAGGACGGCCGCGAGACCGAGTACTACAGTCGCCTGCAGCGCTGGATGGCCGAGGCGCGCGAGCAGCGGCGGCGCGACGACGGCGAGAAGCTCGTCTTCCCGCCGTGCAACTCGGAGTGGAGCCAAGAGCGCGGCGGCCGCGTGTACTGCTCGCGCCGCAGCGGCGGTGTGGCGCGCGACTGGGCCGGCGTGCCGCGCGAGTACTTCGCCGGCGGCAAGAAGCGATGCGCGTGCGTGCGCGACCGGGGCGCGCCGAGCCACGGCGCCGACCCGGGCACGGACCGCGGCGACCTGGACGACCCGCGGCTGGCCGAGTTCCCCGGCTGCGCGCCGCACGCCGACTCGTGTGTCACCAAGGCTTGAGCACGGTCGCTGCCGGGGCCTGATGGCCTGGCGCCACCGAGATCTAGGGGTGAGACGTCCAGCGGCGGCCGCAGCCGCTGCTGCAGCAGGCTGTGACGGCTTCCGACGGGGCCGCGTGGGCGATGGGGACGCGCAGAACGTAAGGCAGTTGGACATGGCTCTGGTGATGGCGTTAGATGTGACCATTGAGTGATAACATTAGCAATAACGATCGGCTGATGGCTGTTTGATGAATGTAGGTATTTGACTAACCATTCTCCGATGGCTTATTCTGACTAGGAATTGGAAAGTTGGCTTTAAGTTTACATGACATGTTGTCCTAATGCGTCACCTCTTAGCATGCTGTGTAAGACTGGTTGACCCACTTTGAACTGTTCCCTTCCCCGTTTGAGCCCCCCCCCCCCCTTCTCCAGTCATGTTCTCTTTTCGTTTTTGTTTTTGTTTTTGTTTTTGTTATATGTTCAGGCCCGTGACATCCAGAACATTATGCTCCGATGCTACTGCTTTGTGACGACGAAGAGGTTGTGAAGCATGTGTGCTCCCATGCGCTTTAAGGGCAGGAGCATGCAATATAGGCCAATATCGGCTTTTGGTTGCCTGTACGTGGACCAGGCAAATACCTGAAAGCGCGCTGTTTGTTGCCGTTGTGTTCCATCATTTATATTGCATATGCATTTCGAATGGATAGATCACGATGAATGTTTTGTCGGTACCTGAGTGCGCTCCAAAACTGGAAATCCTCATTTATAAATGTCCCGTGCTTTTTATGAATTTGCCTTTTCAAAGCTCCCGTTTAAATAGTTTACAAACAGCAAACAGCGATAAGAGGTCGTCCCAATCAGTTGGCTCATTTGGCTGCGGTTTATTCTTCGAGTGGTTGCTAAACTACTATGCACGTTTGATTATCGGAGATTTCCGCGGACATACTTCGTGAAGCCAAAGGAGATTGAATCTGAGCATCAAAAAAGGTCTGCAGGGTGTGCCGAGGTAGCGTCTTTTTCTTTTGTTGTGTCCTTGAATTTATTTTCACAAATGCATCTAGCTGATCAGTGTCGCGGATAGCGTTGCAAACCGTGCAGATATATCCCTCAGTGCTCGGTCACACATTGTTAATATAACCGAGGTCATTAGTCGTGCCCTTGTTCATTGATGAATATGCCCTCGCTTCCGTATCCCACGATGTACCTAACTCAGAGAACTCGTGGCTGAACCTAATACAAGTGACGTTACCCGAAAGTCGCAGTTGAGGCCGTGAAGAAGGGAACTTCGTTCCCACGTTAAGGCTCTGTCACCAGTGCACGCCGCTTGCACACGGGCTGTCTCCAGCGACGACGTCTCGCGCCGCACGGGCAGTGTGAGGAGTGTCCCGCGATGGCGGCCGCACCGCTGCTGGCCGGCCTGTTGCTGGCCGGCCTGGCCGCCGCCAGGGAGGACCTGAACCTAGACGAACTGGATCCCGGACATGGACCGCGACATATTCCGGTGGGTGGCCCGCGGTGGCAGAGACTCATCGACTGGCGGCGCATCACATGTCCCTGCGTGGGACGCGCTGTCTGCCGAACCCAGAGCGGCGCACGCACGGATGGGCGGGAGCGACATGTACGCGGAGAGGGCGCGTGCGTTTCGCAGCACGACGCTCCGGATCATAAGATCCGTTACGGAGCGCAGCTCGTGCTAGATCCCACGCGAACGAGATCGGGGAAACAAAGCGGAGTAGCGCGACACAACTGCGCGTGCCTCGCGCGCATCCTGCGCTGCGGCAGCTCTAAGAAAAGCGTGATGGTGTGTGGCTCCGCTGCAGGTTCTGCGTGGCCTGCCCCCTGCCGCCGCGCACCTCGGCCGAGTACTGCCGCCGGGTGTGCGCCAGGAAGAACGTCCCGCCGCCGGAGAACTTCGTGAGCCCTCTGCAGCGCTTGTGCTCTGTGTGCTGTGCTGACGCCAGCTGCCGGCTGAAGGTCCCTTGATTTACAGCACGTTGCCTGACTCTTATAATCGCGGACGCGCACGATAATTACGTGCTCGATGTGATCGCTCACACGTGCACGCTGTGTAACTTGCTGTTTGCAGTACCTGGCTTGAGCACCACGCTTACAATTATCCGGGTGTGATTAATACATTGCAGAATAAAAATAGGAACGTGGTGACGCACTTGTAATGTGCTGTTGGCCCAACAAGCTGATAACAGAAAACAAGATAATGGGTGTCAGCATGTGAACTAGCATGTGAACATGCGAACCGATAGGGGCGGCGTCGCCTTCCTAGGCAGTCATGTTACGCTCGAAGTTGTCCCCGTGTCAGGAAGGCGGCTGCGAAAAATGACCGCTTCGCTCAGCCAGCCATCGGCTGTGGCCCCTCCGGCCGGTGACCTGCCCGACCTGATGACCTACCTGACCTGGACCTGTTGACCTACTTGACTTGTTGACCTTTCTGACCTGTTGACTTGCCTGACCTGGCGACCTGCCTGCCCTGTTGACCTGCCTAACCTGGTGACCTACCCGACCTAGTGACCGGTCTGACCTGGTGACCTGCCGGCAGGGCTCGTACGTGGACTGGGCCGAGATGTGCGCCCACCTCTGCAAGTACAAGCTCGGCGGACCGAGCTGCACCTGCGAGCTGCACCGCGTGTTCAGTTTCAGCGTGCACGACCTCTTTAACAACTGAAAGCGCCGGCGGTGGCCGTGGCAGCCCCACCTGGCTCTGCCGGCGGGACGGCTGTGCAGGGGACGCGATGGGACCGCGTGTGCGTTGTCGGATGATGCTGTGATAACAGTGTTCCTTGGGTGTATTCGCGACCACTGCGGTGGGGGGTGCTGTGCTCACCGAGCTAGCATGGGATGTGTAGAGGCGGTGGGCGATTTGCTACGGTACCTGAGCGGACTTGCATCTGACTGAATGTGCCTGTGCTGGACGTGGTACGCGCCTCTGAATTTTGATGTGAATATATCGTTTTTTTTCGACGATCGCTCACGGACGCACACAGCTGTCGCCACAGTGCTGGCATGGGTCGTGGGGCTGGTAGTCGGTCAAAAGGGTTGATGCACACATCTGCTTTTTCAGAATGTGCGAACAGTTGCCGTCACGACATATACACCCAACGCTACCTGTTGGGCCTGAAGGTTGAGTGAAATACGGGGAATGGCAAGCCGCTTCGCGCTATGATTGTTTTGTTGTAGTCACCGGCCTCTACCAGATGTGCAATACATCGGAAAACGCGTCATGCACAGCACGCGGTAAAAAAAACAAAAACAGGAAGACCGCCTGAAACGATTAATTTGACACATCACCTACACAAATGCTCCAATGCAAAGTCGCAGGACGATCGGCGGCGCACCCCGCCGTGGCGCGGACCCCTGGGAGAGGGGGGAGGGGTCGTCACGGCTGCGTCGGTGGGCGCGCAGTGCCGCCATCTGAGACAGTGACCCGGCTCTGCTGGCTGCTGCGTTGCTTCGCCGCCGCGCCGTCCGCCTTCGCCTCTGCGCCGCTCTCCGACCGACTCACTGCCTGCACCCGGTTCTGCACGTTGATGTGAGGCGCCGCCTGGTGCAGGTGCACCGTCACGTTAGGCGGCGGGCTGTGGTGCACGTGCCGGTGCACCACCTGCTGCGGCGTCTTCTGCCGCTCGACCAGCTTTTGCAGCAGGTGCTCGACGCGCCTCAGCCGGCTGCTGACGCCCGTGTCGGCGACGTGCACCCCGGGCCCCCGCCTCCTGACGTGTACGGTCACCTCGTACGGGAAGTGGAGCTCGACTCCGCCGGCGGTCACGACCGTTCTGTGATGTCCGGGTCCTGCTGGCTTATGGTTGCTGGCCCCAACTGACTTGCGGCGTGCTGCTTCTGCTGCCTTCCGACGCGCTGATTCTGCTGCCCTCCGGCGTGCTGCCTTTGCTACCCTTGCTGCCCTCCGGCGCGCTGCCTTTGCTGCCCTTGCTGCTCTTCGGCGCGCCGCTTTTGCTGCCTTTGCTGCCCTCCGAAGTGCTGCTTTTGTTGCTTTTAGTCGCCTCCGGCGTGCTGCTCTTTCTGCCCTTGCTGCCTCTGTTTCTCTTCGGCGCGCTGCTTTTGTTGCCTTTAGTCCCCTCCGGCGCGCTGCTCTTGCTGCCTTTGCTGCCCTCCGGCGTGCTGCTTTTGTTGCCTTTAGTCCCCTCCGGCGTGCTGCTCTTGTTGCCCTTGCTGCCCCTGTTCCCCTTCGACGCGCTGCTTTTGTCGCCTTTAGTCCCCTCCGGCGTGCTGCTCTTGCTGCCTTTGCTGCCCTCCGGCGTGCTGCTTTTGTTGCCTTTAATCCCCTCCGGCGTGCTGCTCTTGCTGCCCTTGCTGCCCCTGTTTCCCTTCGGCGCGCTGCTTTTGTTGCCTTTAGTCCCCTCCGGCGCGCTGCTCTTGCTGCCCTTGCCGCCCTTCGGCGTGCTGCTTTTGCTGCCTTTGCTGCCCTCTGACGTGCTGCCCTTGTTGCCCTGGATCCCCTCCAGTGTGCTACTTTTGCTATCCTTGCCGCCCTTGCTGCCCTCTGGCGTGCTGCTTTTGTTGCCTTCAGTCCCCTCCGACGCGCTGCTCTTGCTGTCCTCGCTGCCCTCCGGCGTGCTGCTTTTTCTGCCTTTATTGCCCTGCGGCGTGCTGCTCTTGCTGCCCTTACTGCTCGTGCTGCCCTCCGGCGCCCTGGTCTTGCCGCTCTTCGGCAGCGGCGACCGCAGCGTCGCGCCCACCACCGGGCCGCCGTCGCCCGTCGGAACCTGCGCCTGATGCAGCGGCGTCCGCAGGCGACCCGTCCAGACCGCAGACGCCGGCCTGGCCGGACTACGTACCTCCGGTGCCGGGCGACGACCGGCAGGCGGGGAGGAGGGCTGGACCCGAGCGGCGTCGCTACCGCCGCCGCCGACAGCAGGCCGCAGCTGGTCAGCAGCAGGGGACGCAGCGCGCACGGCCCGGCCATCGTCCGGCACCGCACACACCTGCCGCTTCAGAGGACGTCCGCACGGCTCCTGACGCCGACAGCGGTCTCACAGCGCTTTCAGGTGTCACGTAGACAGCTGACGAAACTCCCGTCACCGTTTGACGTCGTCGCTGACGTTGCCCTTCGTTCCACGAAAACGGTCAAATGTCTATCACGGATATCGCTAGCTTTTAGGCGTAAATATCGCGCCGGGTACACCACCTTCGTGAAAATGACACTGGCATCGAGGCTGGAGGTCCGTTTCATGCCTGGCGCGAGGATTCTGTACCATTGCTCACCAGCCGAGATCGCAGTCAGTTTGACACGCACGGAAAGCGTCAACTGCCCGATTTGGTGACTCAGGCTCAGTTTCAAGTGCCACCTCGGAACGGACCCGTCCGTCGCGACGTCAGCTCGGCGAGCCGACCTTGACATGTCACGTGGCTAGTGCTACAACCGACCAAGCTGCCCGAGTGCCTGCACGGCGAGAAACGAACGCTTGTTGCTGGAGCTGACCGTAAGCTCTGCATGTTGACTCTGCACGAGGTTCTTGTAAGCCGAGAACGCCATGTTCCTTGCTGAGTGATCTTTCAGATTATTTTTTGCTGGAAATTGGAAATTTGGCTAAGCATTGGAAACGAAAAATGACGCAGTTATCAGATACACCATTCAATGCGCAGCATCCAGACTTTAGCCGAAAGATTGACGCCAGCAACTGGCTGTGGAGAAAGGGGGCATATGCCATTCAGCATTCTTATCTTACCGCAGATTATTGGCGGAGAAACCATGAGCAGGAATCACTCGCGAGGGCTGCGCCGTGTGTCTTTTGAAATATATGAACGCTTGAATGCAATTTCTATAAAATTGGAGGCGTTCAGTGGACGAGGCCTGACATTTAAATGCGTGGTACGTAGACCCCTTGCTCCCTTCGAAGAGACAAACCTAGCAAATGGCAGGCGCGTCACCAGCAACAGTTTCGGTGGCACGGCTCCCTGTATTGTATGCGACAGGTGTAACGCAATGTGTGTATAACTACGCCAGTTCTTCAAAAAATTATCAAAACAGCTATTGTACATGGCACACGTCGCTCTACATCGCCACAAAACGACTCGCCAATTCTCAGAATCATGATAACCGCGCGCCCATCTCCCTCAGCGAAACAAACTGTATCCCCACGCGCAACCCCGGCACCGTCTGTTTCTTCACCAGCATTCTTATGACGGAATGTGATTTTTGTTCACGGAGCGTATCTTCCTGTGGAATGACGTCGTGCATCTTGCAATGTCTTGTCTTAGATCTCAATGTCTTATGACGCTTATGACCCTTGCATTCGTCAGTTCTTGCCCAGCTCGCCGCTTCTCTTCACAGCTGCTTCAATAGCCGACACAATCCCGGCGCTGGAAAATAAGGAAAATAACGCCATAAGTCTGGCATGTATCCGAAGCCCAATACCAGCACTTGCACTGTGTCGCAAAAAGTGGCATAGGTAGCAGGGGCACTCTCACAGTGCATCGGCCGAGCCTGTAAAAGACTCTTCACGCAACAGCCAGACGGGACGTCAGCCGCTTATGTTCATCTGAAATGCATAGATTCGGTCAGGCGTTCCGAAGCTTATATGCCCCGTTAGTACGGTGTAGCACGGTGTAGGTGTATCACAATGTAGCGCGGTGGACGGCTACCCCGCTGGCCACGCTCACCGGAAGCCGCTCTCCTCGAGCGGGTGGAGGCCGGCGATGGTGGCGCCGCCTGGCGACGAGACCTCGTCCCGCAGCTGGCACGGGTGGCGGCCCGTCTCCAGCACCATCTTTCCGGCGCCCAGCACCTGCCGGCCGCAGGCGTAAGAGACCGTCACGCACCGACAACAACCGAGGACGCTCACGCGTGGCCCAATGGTCACAGACTGCCACCGGCCACCCGACCCCCTGCGGTCAGGGGAGGGGCGGGGGGGGGGGGGGGCAGAAAACGCAAATAACACCATCGTCATAATGTCATCTCGAATGACTCACATAACGGACAGCCGCCACCAAGCGCCGCTCATCCTGGGGTGCCTTATTTCGCATAGTTCGCCAGTAACCAGAACCGTAGCCCGGCAAAGGCCAACACTAGCGGGTAGCCGCGAGCTGAGAAGCAGCTGTCCGATACAGACGCTAATTGACACAAATCACCCGTCCCCAGAGCCGTAAGCAGCTAGTCCATCCCCAGAGGTTCGCAACGGTAGCCTATTCTCGCAGCAGTGATCTGAACACATTAGCCGTGTTTCGAACTGCGTTCATCCTCAAGAGTGCTAAGGATTTAGAAAGGTTCAGCAAAATACAACACTTAGAAAAATATACAGAATATAGCCCTAATATATATGTGCACAGACTGCCACTTAAAGGAGCGGACAGCAGCTGTGCGCTCCGGCGGAGCGGGGCTAGACGTACCGTCTGCGCCGCCATCTCACGGGCCGTGGCCCACGGCAGGCCCATCTTGACAGCGCCACTGGCCATGGCGTCGATGAAGGTGAACACCTGCCAACAGCCGGGGTTAGAGGGAGGCGGATCCGGGACACATGCCAACAGCAGAGGGTAACAGTGAGGCGGACACGGGACACTCGGACACCTGTCAACAGACGGGGCTAGAGCAAGGCGGATCCGGGACACATGCCAACAGCAGAGGGTAACAGTGAGGCGGACACGGGACACTCGGACACATGCCAACAGCCGGGGGTTGGAGGGAGATGGATCCGGGACACATTCCAACAGCAGAGGGCTAGAGGGAGGCGGACCCGGGACACCCGGACACCTGCCAACAGCAGAGGGCTAGAGGGAGGCGGATCTGGAACACATGCCGACAGCCCAGGGTTAGACGGAGATGGATCCAGGACACACGACAACAGCTGACGGTTAGACGGAGATGGGTCCAGGACACCTGCCAACAGCGGAGGGTAAGGGGAGGCGGACACGGGACCCCCGGACACCTACCAACAGCGAGGATAAGGGGAGGCGGACCCAGGACACCTGCCAACAGCGGGGAGCGGGGGCGGACACAGTACACCCAAACATCTGCCAACAGCAGAGGTTAAAAGGGAGGCGGACACGTGCCAACAGCCGAGGGTTAGCAGGACGGTAGGCCTCGGAGGCTACACGCCAAGCATCGGACACATGTCACGGCCACTGTGTGGACGGTGTGCTCGCGAACTCAGTACTGTGTCGTTTGGGTAATGCGTCTGGCACCCGTAAGGCCTAGCCAGCCCGTCAAAGGCCCGAGGCCGATGGCTTACTATATTTTTTCGTGATTTTAAATGTCGTCCAACACGTAATTTGTGCAATATCTCTCGTACGTGTTATCCACTCAGTGGTTCACATACTAGCTGCAGTCCACACAGCTGGGGACGCACTAAATCGGCGCATTCACCCAGCGACCTGATTTCAGAAGAAACACTCCAATCATTCCCGATAGGTTGCATCATCACCGGAAACTGTCCACAGCGCTAGACATAGCTCAGTCGCAGCACTCGTGGTGCATCGCCTTCTACGCCGTTTGTTCCACACCGGGTGCCATCCGCCTTGCACACCCGGACGGAAGCGAGTCTCCCATCCCCTGTCCGTTGTAGGGGGGGGGGGGGGGGACAGCCAGCGCGGCGCCGCGCACCTCCAGGCCGCCGTGACCTTGGCCGCCGGCGGTCGATAGCGGCCTCGCTCGCCAGGTTCCGGGGCCGCGCAGCACCATCGATTGCAGGCGCGTGGCCCGAGCGGAACACTTCCGCAGGCTCGGCACTTGTGGCCGCCGGCGGAGGTCGGGTCCGGCCGGCACGTGCGCGGTGTCGCGCCCACCGGCTCGGCCACGACGGCGACGGCCGCGCCGAGGCGACCGCGGTGACGTGCTGCGCTGGTGAGATTAACGGGGGGAGAACGAGGCCTGCGACCGCGCGAGTCGGCGGGTGCAGCGGACGGCGGTGGTCGCGGGCGGCGCGCGTACGCGCAAGAGCGTGCCGACGCGTCGAGTGCCCGACACGCGCGCGCGGCCGGCGGCCGGCGCACCATGTGGTGACGATCCTCAGCGCGGCCATGGAGGGCGGCCTCCGACACGACACCTACCGCCCCGACTGGACGCCGCGCAAGAACTGGCGCGCGCGCTCGCCGCTGCCGCCGTGGCTGAGCGCCAGTGCCGACGAGGCGCACGACCGGGAGGCGCGCGCGCGGCGCCTGGTCAGCCTGCTGCGGCCGGCGGCGGCGCCGCACCGGGCAGCCGCGGCGGGAGGCGCGCGGCCGCGCAGCAGTTCGGTGGATAACCAGGGCGGCTCGCGGCGGCTCTGCCTGACCCAGGCGCTCGACTCGCTGCGCCTGAGCCTGCGCGCCAGCTCCGAGCAGCAGCTGGACGCGGCGCAGGTGGAGGCGGCGGAGGCGCGGCCGCGCAGCGTGGTGCTGCGCCGCCTGAGCGGCGACGACGAGCCGCCGCCGGTCGGCCAGCAGGCCGTGCACATCAGCCAGGACGACCAGCAGCGCGTGTTCGCCAAGTTCTTCGCCTTCCACCGCTGCTACGACATCATGCCGCATTCGGGGAAGCTCATCGTATTTGACTCCGAGTTGCCGGCGCCCAAGGCGTTCCAGATGCTGGTGCACAACGGCGTGCGCGCGGCGCCACTCTGGGACGGCCGGCGCCAGCAGTTCGTCGGCATGCTGACCATGACAGACCTGCTGGAGATGCTGGTGAGCTGCGGCGCGGCTGGCGGCGCCGCGCCGCCGCGACTCGGACCGTGGCTGGCAGCGCGTCGGCGGCGGCCGCTCGTCGCGCTGTCGCCCGACTGCAGCCTGCTGCGCGCCGCCGGCACGCTGCTGCACGAGCGGCTGCACCGGCTGCCGGTCATCGACCCGGTCTCCGGCGACCTGCTGCACCTGATGACGCGCCAGCGGCTGCTGCGCTTCCTCCGGCTGCACCAGCACGCACTGCCGCGGCCGGCGCTGTTGACGCGGCCGCTGCGCGCGCTGCCGGTCGGCACGTTCGAGAGGCTGGAGCTGGCGCGGCCCGACACGAGCGTGCTGGCGGCGGCCGGCGCGCTGCTGCGCCGCCGCATCTCAGCGCTGCCCGTGGTGGACGCCGCCGGCCGGCTGGTACGCGTCTGCACCAAAGCTGACCTGCTGGCGCAGGCGGCGGCCGGCGCGTTCGCGCGCCTCGAGGAGCCGATCTCGGCGGCAGGCCCGCCAGGCGCCGTCGTCACCTGCCGGCTGGACGACACGCTGGGCACGCTGCTGGAGCGAGCGGCGCGCGCACAGGTGCACCGCCTGGTGGCCGTCGACCACCAGGGGCGCGTGGTGGGCGTGGTCTCGCTGTCGGACCTGCTACGAACGCTGCTGGGCGGGCAGCCGGAGCCCGCCGACGCCGCCGACCGGAGGGCCAGCGACCCGCGGTAGGCGACCCGGCCGGCGGCACGTGCCGACCGGGGCTCGGTGTCACCACGGCCGCATCACGCCACACGGCACAGCTGGTCACGAGATGCAACGAGAATGCTGCATACTCTGGCCTGCGACAACAGGTCGTTACCCTCGGAACTCACTGTAACAAAGTCACTGTCTTCTGGCCACTCGGCACATTCGTATCTTATCAGATGGTCCCAATGTATTTTGCAGAATGTCTCTCCGGAGGGCCGGCGCTTGTTGTTTTTCCCAGTGCCGTGCTTACACCTTATGACTAGTTACAGCCAATTTAATCTTACACTTCTGTTAAGAGCAGCCTGCCTCCCCAGAATACGTCTCCCGTAACAGAAAGTGAGCTAATACCGCTGACAACGTTACAGAAGGTTACGCCACGTCTTGCCGCACTGGCTGAGACAGCTGGAAAACCCAACACACATCTCGCACTCATTCATTCATTCAACAAATTCACGTCTGGCTTATATCATTTTCGGAACGCTGGCAATACTAGCCGCTGTTGCTCGCATCGAACGGTGGGAGTGCGGCATTGTGTATTCATTTCGAGTCATTTATACCGAATCGCAGAGTATGGTTGTTTTATATCAGCTTTTAGCTATCGATTATATGATACGTGCCCTGCCCCTCCATGCGTGTACAACTCTGTGCTCAAATAGGATATGTATTGTTCCTATGTGTTGAACGTCCCACTATTTGGCCACCATTTACATGAGATGTGCTCACTTTCAGTGCACCTGCACCTTGTCACTGGTTCTGGATGGAGTAGGTAGGCTGATTAAAAAACAACCTCTGAAGCCGAGACACGCCTAAACCACCAGTCATCAGTGACCTAGAAATACTCCCAATATCGCGCTGTTCGCTGTGTGCGCAATAACGGCTTCCCAAGTTGACTAGCGCAGAGGTGTGGCAATATCTCGTAGGGTGGGTTGAACAAATTTACTTTCCAGCCGAACTCCTCCCATGCATCACAAGTTCGGTGACAAACTAGCGGTAAACGGGCCCAGATAGGCCACCCTATCCCGTTACTCCTATCTGTAGCGCAACATGTCTTCAAACGCAGCCCCTTCCATTTGCTAACAAAAATCAATCCCACGAGTCCTGCCTGCTACCGACCACCCACTTGTCAAGCATGCCTCCTCCCCCCCCCCCCCCCCCCTCCTCCCACCCCTACACAAACAAAGCTTCATTAGACCGCCTTTCACATAGTTCAAGTACGTGTCTGAAGGGAAGTCGGCAGCGTGGAGGCTATCCAATGCTCTAGCTGTTTCAATCGCCCGCAACGTGTACTCACACGCACAAGCATCTGCTGCAGGGTATGCATCATACACAATTCTTACCGAATCCCAAAGGATCCAGTCCACATACATTGCGTAGGTGTGATGTAATGTTCGTGGATGCGTGCGGAGTGTGTAGATAGGTTGGCGCGCGCGTTCGTGCCTGCACGCATGCGCACCATTTCGAGTTATACACCGTGCAAGGACGTGGGTGGTAAGATTACCACCGTCCGATTTATTCGGCTCAGCTCGTTAATCATATGCATGAACTGTTTAAAAGACCAGTGGTATATGCCCTGAGCACCTGACAGCACCGCATGCACGCCCACGATCACGTCCCTGACGCGAGATCCCATCAAAAAACGCGCTCTCTTTTGCACCACATTTGTAACTGTGCTTTGTAATAAACGGCTCGGAACGCTTCCGTGATGTGCCAGCTGGGAGGCGGTCAGCAGAGAGCGGGTCTCAGCTGGTCGACGCGCATTTGGTGCGGTGCGTACACTGCACGCACGGGTGCAGCGGCGCCCGCCCAGGCGGGAGGTCCGCCCTCCCAACACCACAGCAGCGTCCGACACGAGCTCCCCCCCCCCCCCCCCCCGAGCGCCGCCCGACTCACGAAGGCCGTGCCACTGCCGAATGCGCCGCCCACGGCGTCAATCTGCGCCTCCTCCAGCCTCTTGCAGCGGCCGACCGACGAGTAGACGCGCTCCGCGAACTCGGAGTACTGCGGCGCCTCCCGCTTGCTCCGGGGTAGCGTGTACGCTGCCGGCAAAACGGGCGAGCTGACGAGACGGGCGGACTTCCTGTAAGGGGTAGTTTCTGGTGCTCATCTCAAACTGATTGACAAGAGGAGCCGCATTAGGCGTCTTCCATGGATTTGTTAAAGGTCATAAGAGGTCACTGACCTAAACTGACCCAGGTCAACACTTCGTTTTTAGGACCATGCTGCCTAACGTAATCTTTGTGCGCGCGCGCATGCGTGCGTGCGTGCGTGCGTGCGTGCGTGCGTGCGTGCGTGTCATTGGGGCTTTACAACGCACTCAGCTGCTGAAGCTATATGGCGTTGCCTGCCTCTCACCCTGGCAGGAAGGGCGGGCACCGCGGGGAATCGAACCCCGTACCTCTGGTTTCCCAGACGTACAGCGGTTAACGCAGACGCGTTAACCACTACACTACCGACACCCCCGTCTTCTATGATTCTGATCATCATGAACTTCAAACGGCCAAACAAGGTCACCGACCTCAGATGAGCATGTGGCCTTTTCCTTAGAACACGCATCTAGGTTCTGGGGACAGTTTGGAGACCAACTTGGAATTTGACCTTGTTTCGCCTTATTTGGTCCGAAGGTCATGACCAAAGGACCTCAAACTTTGACCCACGTGAGTTCACGTACCGGCCATTACACGATCTTAATTTGGTGTCTCTGACTCCCTTAAGACCTGAGATCTCGGGGCGGGGGGGGGGGCGGCGGCTCAAATTGACCTCTCCCCCCCCCCCCCCGCCCACCCGAGCGAAGGGTTTCCAGCCGGCCACCCGGGTGCGCGTTAACAGACGAGCCGAAACGTGGATATTGAGTATTCGCCTGATGAGTGAGCCGCACTCAAATGCATCACCTTAACGACAAACCAACCATTAGACACTTCCACTTGCGCCACTTCGTGGCCGTTTTAATGTGCGGCTGTTATAGCCGGCTTACTAACACGCTGTCGGGGCTAGCCGAAGCGACGGATGCGACCGAAGCAACTCACCGCAGAGGCCCTCTCCGACCAGGCACGGCGTAGTGGGCATGGAGCGTATCACATACGCCGACGACACGCCCAGCTTCTGCTGCAGGATCTGACAACAGCATGACAACGCATCAGGCGCGTGTAACCCGGCTAGAGTTCGCTGAAAACCCATGAACTCGTGAGTTTGGTGCGCACAAGCAATGCCATTTTCAAATAAGCCGATTCGTCGAAAGCGCGCGGTAAGTGCGATGCGCTTATGCATAGCTGCGCGAGCGCCTTTGTACGTGCAGCATCTTTACACCGTCCGTTAAGAGCAGCAGACAACCCAAGCCCCGACCAGGCATAGGCCGCCGAGCGTCTGCTGAAAGGCCAACAAACCCTCCCTCAGACCGCTGACGGCCGTGGAGCCTCCGCCCCGCGGCTCGCAGATGGCACCGAACCAGTCCATCACGGCCGCTCCGGCTGCTACCTGCTCGACGCGGTCCACCTTCAGCCCGGCGATGACCGAGACAAAGAACTTGTCCGACTTCTCGACGCGGCTGAGCTGGTCCGCGCTCATCCTGCCGAGCACGCCGTCAAGCGAGCGCTCCAGCAGGTGCGGCTTCACCGCCAGGAAGACCACGTCGCAGAGCTCCAGGATATCACCTGAGGGCATCGCCAGACGGACCGTGTTAAGCCGCTGGGACGGGAACGTCCTGGCACGTCCGAGGATATAATATCTGTGACGGAAAACACACCAAAAGAATGTCCGAGTTCGAAAAACACCCAGTCTCATAAGCGTGTAAAGAAATTCTGAAGGGCTCATGGCTCAGTGGAGTATGCAGCATTGCTGCTAGCGTGACAGCTTGATGACAGTTACGCACGGAGGTCATTCTGTGTCAAAAAGGCATCCGCTGTGCGACGATATGTTCTCAGCCTTCCAAGCAGACATTCACAAGTCGCTGATAACTATCCACATCAAGATTCGTAAGAGTAAAAAAGCGTAACATGCATGCTCCCGCAATATGAACGTGATTTTTGAGCTAGAAAAGGTGAGCTTTGTGGAACAAGACGAATATTCTTACCACCGATGTGCATCAGGTAATTTTGTCACCACGGCTTTACAAAATGCTCAGCTGCTGAGGCTATATGGCGCCGCCTGCCTCTCACCCTGACAGGAAGGTCGGGCGCAGTGGGGAGTCACCATTGGGGAGTCATCAGATCACTTTGCGATAGCTGGAGTCACTGCAGGCGAGGGGTCACCGTGCAGCGGGTTTGGTCTTAGCGCGGGTTCCAGAACACAATCTTCCAAGACGGACCCAATGGACATAACTTCCAGTCCACATGCATTGCCCTCACCACCACTCACAGTTATCGTTGGTCGTTTTAGCGCCCCAGGACGCCCACTCCTTGAGATTCGTCTCACTGGGGGCGCTGGCGTGCACGTGAGACGCGTCTAGTAGCCCTGCGGTGCCATACAACGAAAGTCAGACACAACACACAGCAGGGCAGCACACAGACACTGAGGGTCCACCAAGTCAAATGTCTGTACCCAGTAGTCACTGACACCTAATTGGCTTGAATGTAAAAAGGTAAGATGGAGTGAAGCAAAAATATCCAATTTTGAACTAACACGAAACATTAGGCATGGGCGTTTTAAAGATGGATAGTGTTCATTTAAATAATCTGGAATATGACTGAGCAGGAAGCGAATTTAAACAGGATCTATTCGACTAACCTGCCTGAATGATGCCTCTCCCAATAGCCTTGGCCATATTGCCAGCACCAATAAATCCAACTTGCTTCTTGCTAATGTCTGAGGTCAGACACAAGCAATGTATTATTTTCATGAAAAAGCGTTGGCTTGAAACGACACAGCACCTGATCCTGCATCACCAGGCCCAGTGGAAGCAGCCCAAAACACTCATGCATGGAAAGATCACCAACATACACAATTACAGTTAGTTATTTTATTTAAGGCACATCCACGTGTGGCCGTTCCGCGCCTAGTCGTACAAGGGGAAAGAGCCCACACACAGTACAGAAATACACACATACACACAGACACACAGTTTCAGTCGATGAGTCAGCGATTTAAAACAGTCAAGAATGCCTGGCGCGAGGGGGCGCGGACTGCCGCCGCAGGCCGATGCAGCGAGCCGGCACCGCCCGAAACAGCCCAAGTTTGGCGTTGGGAAGCCTCGACGCGCGTTTTGAATAGAGCACGCAGTGCACTGTGAGATTCGGGGATGCACAGTGCCCTGAACACATTCAGGCAGCCCCGGGGCTGCACAAATTCCGCGACGCTACGCCAGCCGAGCACGTCCAGGACGAGTGAGATATAATCGCTGCGACGGGCACCACCCACTAGCCTGGCTGCCAAGTGCATCACCCTTTGCACCCTGTCTACGTGACGCTCGGCCGCTCCACCCCAGATGGACAGGCAGAAGAGAATGTGGGGGAAGACGTGGATTTCGAAGAGGAGCTTCAAAACCTCAGGAGTGAAGCGGTGTTGGATTTTGAACAGGGATATGACGATTGCAGTACAGCGCCGAACGAGAGAGGAGATGTGGGGCTCCAAGGTGAGCTGGTGGTCAAGGAGTACACTCAGTACCTTCACTGAAGATGATGACGGATGTTTGTGCCGGAGATGGTAATGTGGAAGTTGCCGGTCTTTGTGATAGAGGGCTTGATGCCAATCAGCATGAAGTCTGTCCTCTGGGGGTTCATTTTGAAGCTTTTTGACTGAAACTAGTTTTGAATGCACTGAATGGACTCCTCGACACGGGCTTTCAGGCTGGACAGGCCGACGACATCGGAGGTAGAGGTGTCAAGGATTCGGGTGTCATAGGCGTAGGATAGTAGACGACCGCGGGGTAGTAGGCTGAATAGGTCGTTGATAAAGATGAGGAACAGGAATGGGCCGACAAGGTATCCCTGGGCCACCCCGTGGAAAAGAGATAAGGCAGCTGAGCCACCACTGACCACCTGCTTCCGACCGCTCAGATAGTCCGCGAACTATTCCGAGGACACCACGCACCATTCCAGCCTGCTGAGGAGGAAGCCGTGATCAGCGCTGTCAAAGGCTTTGCTAGGTCAATCGTCGTTACCGAAGCAACATGGCTGTTGTCGACAGCCCTTGTCAGCCATCCGATAGCGTCGATCAGGGCGTCCTCCGTCGAGTGACGTGGACGGTAAGAATATTGCGATGGCGTCAGCATATGATTGTCACGAAGGTAAGCAGTGAGTTGTGAGCAGACGACCTTCTCGATAATTTGACATAACAGAGAGAATATGAATGGGCCAAAAGTCATTCAGGCCTGATCCATCGTCGAACACCGGGGTGACGCGCGCAATCTTCCTGACATATGGAAAGGTGCGTGATATGAGAAAAGTCACTCATATCTGGTTGTGCAGCAATTACAGGAAAACACTTTTTCACTATGTAGAGTGGTACGCCATCGACACCACAGTCCTGACGTGCTCATTTTCCTGATGGCTGCAGACAGCTCGGGTAGAGTGGCTGGATGCAAGGAGACGCTGAGGCACAGACACCATAGGGGCGAGGTCCAGCCAGGGGAGCACCTGCATTACCATGCACTGCTGCTGCCTCTGCAATGATGTGGGACCAACACCAGAAAAGTGGGCATTAAGTGTGTCTGACCAGGTGCCCAACATATGACTCATAAGAAGGTAGTCAGAAATGCCAACTTTGATGGATGATATAAAATGCAAGTTATTGGTACAACCCATCATATGCAGCCCTAGACTTTTAGCTCAATGCTTCTGGGATGCTTACAAAATGATTTCTGATTCATTTTCTGATGCATGCAAATAAACTTACCCATGATTTCTGTGATGTCCTATGATGGGTAAGTTGGGGCTGTTGTGCCTGAAAGTTACAAGAGTCAATACAATCCAGCTAAAACAAGCAAGACACATGGGGATGAGGGTCACTTCAATCAGTTCATTAAGCTTGGCTGCAAAAACAGCCCTTAAGGATATTGGCTACTGGCTAGCCAATCCCACACAGACAGCTAGCTGGCATGGCTAGCCATTCTTGTGACCAGCATCTTGACTCATTTGGTGAGCATACAAACAAATATAATACGATTGAGGCCCCAAGAATACACCAAACCATGAATGTTAAGCTCTTTCCAGCACCCACAGGCATCCTAGGGAAAATAAGTTGGCTACCCAAGCTGTATTTTGCAACTTGTGACCAGGCTGCAAAAAATTGTGTTAACTATAATTATACCCCATGTAGCAATATCTTGGCAAAAATGAAATGGATGCACACCAAAAGTCTACAAAACAAAACTTTGTGCATATTCACCACCAATTTCAGTGCACAGATAGCTAATATTTTAGAGAAATGTGTTTATATGGTAATTTCACACAGAACTACCATCAAAACATTTCCTCAAGGAAACTTACTTAAAAATACCCCACAATTGGGCCACCTCTAGGTTACGTGCGTGCGCGTTCCAGGTTCACCGCCAGTATGTAACAGTGTCCAAGACAGTGAATGGATTTTTTGCAGCCTGGCGTTGTGGACCCCAACAGGATATATTGCGATGAGATCAACCCGCTAAAAATAGCAGACGTCTCACACAAGACAAAAAAAAATTCACTGCGAGCGACGGATACACTGAAGTCTTTTTTTAGGTTCATTTCATATCTACAGTCACAGTAGAAGCACCAGTAACCCACTGCTTGTACATCGATACATACCGTAAAATACCGGCGCCAGCCTAACGTCGCGACCCAAGTGGGAAAAGTAACTATCGCGCTACGAACGTATAAGCATTGCTTTCATGTAAAATATAATTATTTCATTTCAAGCATTATGCTATGAAAAAAATTTGGTGCCTAAACTGATGAGAATGCAAGACATTATTTTTAACTACTTTGATTTATTATCATGAATTCCCAACAGGCATGGTCTTACAACCTATAATTGGCAAGTATTTTGTACACTAACTATTTCTGTACCTATTTGCAAACTATTCCTCCTCTTTTCTTGTGCCCGAAGGTCGTCGAGGTCGAGTCGCTGCGTCCGGGAGCAGTTGGTTGGATTTTAGAGAAATTAGTTCAGGAAATCACATACCTTTTCAACAACAATTATGTTCTCCAGGCTCGCTCGTCCGCAGCAGGCTGCTGCCTTGAAGGCGATCTCACGAAACTTCTCAGTTTCTAGCCAGGTACGAATATCGGCGTTCGTTCAGGTTTCATGTCTCCGTATCAAGTCCTTCCTTATTATTTAGTGAATTTGCCGGCTCAGCGTTGAGTAATGCTTCGCTTCAGTTTAAAAAGCGCAGAAATTTGAATCAATTATTGTAACCTATCGCGCTACCAATAAGTGAAAACTCCATCCGGTGCAGGTATACATTGGTACCTAATGTTAGAAAATATCATTGTGCATCATTCATCGTGTCAAGGCGGAACATATCGTAAATAATCGTAAAACAGGTAGATTCATGCTCCTACCTTCAAATTTTAATGACTACGATAGGGAGCTCCTGAGCACTGCACACACCCCACCGCCCCGACTTCCTAGTGCCGTTTCTGCGTTATTGTTGCGTAATTACAATATTTCTGCTTATCAGGAACCATAAAAAATGTACTGGGCCAAGGTAACAATAATTATGCAATGAAAAGCGTTTCTTATTGCGTCTATGTAGATTTATGAAACGGACAGGCCTAACGGCCTAACCTAACCTAACTTAGCTTAACCTAACCTAACCTAACCCAATGTAACCTAACCTAACCTAACCTAACCTAACTAACCTAGCCTTATCTAACCTAACCTAGTCCAACCTAACCTAACCTAACAACCTAACCTAACCTAACAACCTAACCTAACCTAACCTAACCCAGCCTAACCTAATGCCCCCCACCCTATCCCCTTCAACCCAGTGCCCCACTGGCATCCATGTTCCATGCCATATATATGTACCATATTAAGATCTTTTGTTTAGCCACCATATTTTCATTTTGCTTTTCATTCCCACCCAAAAATGCCATATTTCCCCACCATATGGACCAATCTACAAACAATACCCAAGACTGCTTGGATATGCAAGAAACATATGTGATTGGATTCTTGTTACCTTGGCCTAGGCAGTAATGTTGTGATCGCTGGTAGCAGCGGCGGCCGGGTCACAGTTGCTGCGTGTTTGATGCTCTCAGATGTTCGCTATGTTAGTTATTTAAGTTCCAAGGTAAGAGTTAAGATGACCTGTTATATGATTAATTGATATGTTCTGCCTTAAAAATGATGATTAATGTATGATGCTCTTTTTTAACATGAGGTAGCAATGTATACCCTGACCCTCCATCCACTTCCCTGATATCTGCTTGACCTCAATGTGATGCTTCTGTTAAAGCATGCCCTGAATGTTTCGGACTTTATTTCATCAAATTTGAATTTTTTGCTTATCAAGATTTGGTGGGAGTATTTTTACAACACATTACCTGCATAACATCTTAATTTTGGGAAAACTCTGCTCTTCTGGCATTGCTACAACAGACATGTCTGTGATAACCTCTTTTTGCAGTCTAGCTGGGTTTAAAATCATCACAAAGACTTTTCTTCAAAATGGGAGGGGGGACCAGCCTGTGAAATTATTGTTCCACCTTGCTGGAGGCGTATGTAGGCTCACTGAAGTTAGAGCATGTGTGCTTTAATCTGGGGCCAGACCAAATTGTGCTGAATTTTCCACTTAGTTCAGCTTGGGATTTTCTGAGGGAGTAATTTGCTCTTGAGATGACCTAAAAAGCATCAAATTTCTTGGTTCTATATGCCCTGAAATGAGTAGCCACCAGACATCAAACTCAGCACTGCCAAATTATAAACTGCCATAGAGGCGTTGCTGCTATGCTGTACATGTTTGAACATGTCATTTTTGTAGCCTGGGTAGCGGACTGATTGATGATCGAGGTGTTTTTGGCAGCCCCCGTCCTGTCCTATATGTGGTATCCAGCACTGCATGGACAATGGCTGATGATATGAACTAGGGGTGCATGGCCTTAAACTTTATTTTTGCAATCCAGGCCATGACCACTTTGATGTTTAGGGAAAGAGTGATGGCTGCATTGAGTTCATGATATCACTATTCACACTGCTCCACATTGCTGTGTATATTTGGCTCGGCATTGTTTGCATGTCTGGTTTACCTGTTTCAGTGCAAGCAGCATAAAATCCCACAACCAAAAAGTTTTGAGCATAAGCACCATTTCTTGCACCAGCTCTGTAATTCAATTGGTAGATCTCTGCCTACAGGGCTATACTTGCAGCTCCACAGGGGACCCTGCACTGCTATATATTTCTCAGTTCAGCTGGCCTGTGTCCAAGCTCAGGACCTGCCCTGCAGTGCTGTGGGCTGCCCCAGTGAAATGTAAATTGCCCTGCTTTAGAAATTCCTGGCCCAGCATTTTTAAAAGTAACCTCAAGTTCAGTTGCTTGCTCCACCTCAGCCCCATTGACCTGGGTGGCTGCAGTTTCGCCGCCACTCAGCTCCTACCAGTCTGCATCTGTCTGTGTCACAGAATCAGCACAAGGTGGCGGTGATGGGCGCCAGCGGCGGCATCGGCCAGCCGCTGTCACTGCTGATGAAGCAGGCGCCGCAGGTGTCGCAGCTCTCTCTGTACGACATCGTGCACACGCCGGGCGTGGCGGCCGACCTCGGCCACATCGAAAGCCCAGCCAAGGTCACTGGCTATGTGGGGCCTGACCAGCTCAAGGTGAGAGGGGCAGCGGTTCGGGGATGGATCGCTGGTGGTGCAGGCGGTAGGAGAGCCTTCACCTCAAATCCCGTCAGGCTTGCGGCAGTGGTTTTGATTTTGTTTTTCGTGACTGCTCCACCGCTGAGCCGCGCGCCGCGACAGAACACCAGACTGGACTGGTCCCGGTGTGTCTACAAGACGTTCGGCCACGCGTGGAGTGGGCGCTGACACCGAGCCGTCCTCCTCAGGCCTCGCTGGAGGGCTGCGAGGTGGTGGTGATCCCCGCCGGCGTGCCGCGCAAGCCGGGCATGACGCGCGACGACCTCTTCAACACCAACGCCTCGATCGTGCGCGACCTGTGCCGTGCCGCCGCCGAGGTCTGCCCCAAGGCGTTCATCGCTATCATCTCCAATCCGGTGAGCGGGCGGCACAATCCTGCACGGCGCGGGGCAGGGCAGGCTGGCGCTGTGTGGGCCGGCAGGTGATGTGCTGGCCGGCCTTTAGCCTGTGCTGGTCAGCTGGTGACCTGTGCTGGTCAGCCAGTGGCCTGCTCAGGCTAGCCAGTGACCTGTGCAGGTTAGCCAGTGACCTGTGCTGGCCAGGTGGTGACCTGTGCTGGTCAGCTAGTGGCCTGTTTAGGCTAGCCAGTGACCTGTGCTGACCAGATAGTGACCTGTGCTGGTCAGCCAGTGACCGATGCATGTTAGCTGGTAACCTGTGCTGGCCTTACGTTCGGTGTGGTGAGGCGCTCACTGAGACATGCCACAACCACAGAACTGTGTATGCTCTGCGGTACACGTGGTTGGCCAGACATTTCAGTGGTCGCAGGTTGTTCCCATGTATGTGCGACAGGGTACGAGGCATCGCTGGTTCGAAGCATCGGTACGTTTTTCCGCCGACCGGTGTTAGCATGCGAAACTCATCGGCGACTTAGTTGGTTTGGGTTCGCTGGGCTGGCCCATCGCAGGCCAGGGTCCGTAAGTGCTAACTGCCAGCCCTCTCGTGATCGGCACCATCTACCGGTCGTGGCGCTGCAGCGCCGCTCGTTGCGTGGCGCCTGTGAGCAGGTGCGCTCATCGGTAGCGCGCACTGACCCCGTATCCGCCGCCAGGTGAACAGCACGGTGCCGATCGCCTCTGAGGTGTACAAGCAGGCGGGCGTGTACGACCCCAGCCGCATCTTCGGCGTCACCACGCTGGACATCGTGCGCGCCAACGCCTTCATCGGCGAGCTGAAGGTGGGTGCGGCGCCGCCGGTCGCGGTCGGTGCCGGCGCCGCTCGGTCAGCGGTGCTTGACCGGGCGCCGGGCTCGGGCGGGCTTCCATTCCGCTCGGTGGGTGTCGCCTCGCTCTGTGAGTGGTGTGCCCTGATCGTTGGTGGTGCTAGGGTGTTATCAGGATGTTGTGAGGAGAAGTGTCTGACCACGGATAGATAAGGTTATCATGAGCGAGGGAAATATGGTGGATGTGTGGAATGGCGTGTTTTCTACCGGGGTATGGGATGGATAGCGCAGATATACGACTCACTTCGCATCGGGTTGCCGACAGCCATGGCCCTGGTCCTCTGTTTGTCAAAGTCTATTCGGCTCTGTACAACTTGCGCTCTGGCCGTTCTGCTGACATCCAGCGGTGCTGACCGGCATCCTCCCGTCCGCACAGGGTGTTGACCCGCGCGAGGTCAACTGCCCGGTGATCGGCGGTCACGCGGGCATCACCATCATCCCGGTCATCTCTCAGTGCACGCCGGCCGTCCAGTTCCCGGCCGACCAGCTGAAGGCGCTGACGGAGCGCATCCAGGTGCGACGCCCGCTCCTTGCGGCGGGCCGAGCGGGCCCTGCTGGCGCAGCCCCTCGCCGACCGACGGCCGCCTAGTCCAGACCGATGTGGCAACAAACGCCGGCTTGTGCGCTCTGATTGCGAAGGGGTTAAATGGAAGTCTAGTCGAAGTCACGGGGCATTTTCACTACCGTCCTGATCGAAGACCTTAGCAGTTGCATCGCGTTTTGCGCTTAATCCCAGCCTATCTAAGTTGTGCTCTTGATTACGAGGTTGACCCGTGGAAGAGCGGTTTGCCAGGAATTTTTGTGATTTTTTTTAACGGAGTTTCCAACGTGGTTGCTGACCCGTGATCATAAGCACAATTCGAAATGTTGAATACTGCCAATATAACCAACAAAATTGGTTTCATACCGTCGACTAGCCCGTACCTACAAGTATGTCGCAGGTAGTTAGTCGTCAGATCGAAAACTCTAGGCATTTCTCCCGTATATCCGGTGATCTGGTGATGTTCTCCCTCTTGGTTCTCGGGACGACCCCCCGCCCCCCCCCCCCCCCCGCCTGCCGTACTGTCCGGCCCAGGACACCGCTCCGTCTCAAGGACCACGCCACCGGCCCGCAGTACCGGTAACGACTCCCTCCCCGCCTGCCTCACTGTCCGGCCCCGGTCACCGCTCCGTCTCAAGGACGGACCACGTCACCGGCCCGCGGTACCGGCGGTGACCCCTCCCCCGCCCTCCACAGGACGCCGGCACGGAGGTAGTGAAGGCCAAGGCGGGCGCCGGCTCTGCCACCCTCTCGATGGCGTACGCCGGCGCCCGGTTCGCCGTCTCACTGCTGCGCGCAATGGACGGCGAGCAGGGCGTGGTCGAGTGCTCGTACGTGCGCTCGGACGTCACCGAGAGCCCCTACTTCTCCACGCCGTGTCTGCTCGGGGTGAGTGTTCGTGACGCTGTGCGTGCTACTCGCTGTGACCCACACAGGGCGGTTTCGGGATGGGAAAGGCGGCGGGCTTATGTCTGGGCGTAACGACTCAGCCGCCGGTGGCCCGCTGCGCGGTGTCGCCACACAATAAGGGGGAGGGGAGGGGGCGCACGCCGGATGGCGTATGGATCACTTCGCGTGCTTAGGTTTCGACTTCCGACGCCTTCCGATTTCAGTAGTATGGCCAATTGAGTCGCATGCCTTCCTGATATCGCGCAAGTCAGTGATAGGAGGATTTGCGTGATGTCGCCGATGCAAATGGCCAGTGTTCAGCGGTTTGTGGTGTTCCGGGTCAAGACTGATTGGGGAGGCGCGATGCGCAATCCCGATGGCTTTGCTTACGCTGCTCCGTGGCTTCCAGAAAAACGGTCTGGAGAAGAACCTGGGCATGGGCACGTTGTCAGAGTTCGAGTCGGACCTCGTGAAGAAGGCGCTGCCCGAGCTGCTGGCATCCATCAAGAAGGGCGAGGACTTCGCCGCCAAGAAGTGATCAGGCCCACACAGGTCAACTGGAGGGCGGTTGAATGTCAGGACAGTCGTTGTTACGTTCGTGAAGTGGATGGCGTAAGCGGCTCACAAACGCCGCTTTTAATAGCAGGGTTTTATCGGTCTTTTTAGCTGGAGGCTTTGCCGCCGCCCCGGTTGTGATTCAGCCGGCATGAGCTCCGTGTCGTCAGCGTTTCCGGACTTATAATACATCCTCACTGGGTGCCGATGCGTACCCACACCGCAACGCCCATTGTCTGTTCCTGCGGATGGCCCCTTCAGAGAAGCTACCAGGTAGAAACAAAACCATTATGAAATTTGGATACCCCTGATCGCGCAGCCTGCCTCGCGACTCCGTAATTTGATATAATGCGTGGTTTGGTTCAAAGTGGCGTAGAACAAACCCCAGCTATATTGTTGCCGCTTAAGTGATTGGTTGCTTCGTTAGCTCTATTAATTTGGAATGTCCCACTGGGTGTTCTACTGAACTGAGCCGGCCGGCCGCGGCAAAGACACTGAGGTAGTAGAGGCGTAGACATCGTGGCGAAGAACTTGTTTCAAACCGCCTAGCGCCCGCTGCTCCGCCGCCGAAACGGTTCAGCGCCATCGGGCTGTTATCAATGACGTCCACACCACGACTGTCACTGGAAATCACCAGCGACGAACCCTCTCGTCGGTACCCTCACCGGAAGGTTGCGCGCGGGGTAATATTTGAACGAGCGCCCGGTCTGCGTGGCGTTTTTTTCCGCAGCCTGTGCCGCCAGCTGTGTCGCGGCAGCGACGGACAGCCAGTGGTGGATGGCGAAACGGACGCCTTATCTTTTGAGCCCCGATAACACCAACGCTCCTGTCATCCTCTCCCAAGGCTGGCAGCAGATACCCTGCCGTCGGGTCAATATAAATAAAAATGTATTGCAAAGCGTACACATACGGACAACGTGTGGCGGACAAGTGTGTTGAAAGAAGCACCCGTCTGCGTCACCGAATAAATAAGCGATCTGCGCGGCGCGGCTCCGACCAGCCCGCCAGTAAAGCTGCAAGGCCTAGCGCGTCGTCATTGGTCGCTTGGTTGGGCCGAGCGCGTCCCATTGGTCGCCTGGCCGGCCGGGCGCGTCGCCATTGGTCGCCTAGCCGGGCCGGCGTCACATGGCCAGCGTGTCCTTGAGCAGCTTCTTGACGGCCGTGCCGACGGACGGGTTGGTGACGCCGCTCGTTTGGTAGTCCACCTGTGGCAACAGCCGGTCACCGTCATGCTGCTACATACGGCGGAGGTCACCACTGGACCGCCGCCGACTTTGTCCCGTCACCAGGACATGACGCGCGGGTCGGGGCTATCAAACAGGGAGGGGGGGGGGGGGGTCGAAATCGTCCGACACGTAGGTAAAACTAAACGAAATCGTGACTGAGTGGGGACGGGGGGGGGGAGGAGAGGCGTCACCTTTCTCCATGAGCTGGTCATCCCACGATGGTTCCAGGCAGCCTTTGACGAGTTGTTTTGACAGTTTTTGACATTCCAAGTAATGAAATCGAGCCGCTTGGTTGTTCCGTCCTTTGCGTTGCCCCGGCTGCCTCTCAGCCGCCCGCGTTCTATTTTAAAGATTTCTGACCAGGTCATCGACAGGACTAGGAGCATTGCGGGATTCATCCAACATCCTCATGAGGTAGTTCTACCTGTTCCCATTCTCACGAACACCCTGGTCACGCAAAATCAATCGGTCACACTGCCACCGGGCTCAAAACCCGGTGTCATCCCAGGAAAGCTGCATAGTAACTCACTCATGTCATGTCACGCATAAATCACGTCCACTCTTTGGGGTGGCGCCAAGTTAAGACAGCTGCCAGCCGCACAGATCATCCATCGCAACAGCCTCGCTTGTCCATGCCTGCTGCTCCCCACCTCCAACGCCACATCTAAGCCGCCGTGCCGCGGGTGAGGCCACAAGGCCGAGAGCTGCCGCCAGTCCTCACCTTAAACAGGTAAGGCTGCACGTCTGGGAAGGAGGTGTCGAACACGAGGTCCAGGTCGGCCTGCTGCGGCGTGTGCGGCAGGTACTGCTGCCGGTTCATGGCCTGCACCACGTGACGCAGCTTCTCCGCCAGCACGTCCACCACCTTCTCCCGGAACACCTTCCGCTCTGTCGGCCGGTCAGGCACGGTCAGATCGGGAGAGGACACCGGCAGCGATCAGCAGACCAGAGAGCAGAACATTTCTCAATACTGCTCGGTGCTGGCAGGGCTTGACTCTGAGCAGGCGACAGCCGCTGAGACTCAAAACCGCAAAAACGGCATGGCCAAGCGACATCGTGGCTGATATAAGACATGTGAAATATGGTAGTATTCAGAATTCGCGTTCTCCATTCACGCCAGCTGCTGCGGCGGACCACGCAGCGTCTAGCACGGTGCCTGACCTCGCTCGTTCTCCAGGTCGACCGTCTCCAGTCGGAGCGTCCACACTTCCCAGGGCATGCGCTCGGTCGCGAACGGCCACTTGCCGCGCTTCTTCTGGAAGAACTCGAGCGAGATCTGGCCCTGGTGCGGCCGCTCGGCCGCCGCCATCATGGCGCTGAACTGGGACACCTCGCGCTCCAGCACGCGCTGCATGCTGGGCGACGAGCAGCGCACCTGGCGGACAGACGGCGACGCACGCGCTGTCAGAGCCGGCTCCAGCGACGCCGCACAGGCGCACGTGTCGCCACCGGTCGGCTCACACGCGCCAGGGTGAAACGGCTGGAGCAGAGCGGCCGCCGTTGCTTCGGCACCGCTCTAGAAGGCCTTCGTAATGCATCCAGGAACGGGTTGATGATACAGCACAGCTTACACAGCTCGAACCAGTGAGCGGTTGTGAGAAGTATTTGGTGGCTGCCAGCAGTGTCAGTGACACTCTCACTGTCAACGGTGGCGACCCCGATAACCCGGACGGCGGTAGACAACGCTACAGACGCCTTCGCGAGAAGACGACACGCATGGAAGCACCCCTCTGACACCAATATGCTCACATGTGTGATCTCCAGCACCGGCAGGTCCACGTCCAGGAAGCCGACCGAGCCGAGCGAGTACAAGTTGTGCCTGTGGCAGCTGAACTTGCCGAGCGTGCGGTGGAAGAGCACCGTGCTGAACACGCTGCTCACGATGTCGTTCACCATACAGGCCTCGCACGACTGCCGAAATGGCCGCCGGCCACACAAGAGGTCACCACAAGGTCACGGGGTCGGGTGCACGCACAGGGACAAGTGGACAGCTGATGGAACGACGAGAGCACATGACGTGCCTTGCTCAACAGCAATCGGAGACCCAGAGCAGTGACCAGCAGGAAGCTGTGTGCAGCTTAACAAAATAATGGAGCTGAAGTGTCAGCATTACAGATCACCTAATTGTTGACACCATTGTCCTCATCTGCTGTGTTGGTGTCCACACAATGTCTCTGCCACTTAACGCTCTCGCCATTGTTGGGTTGCCACTGATGACAAGATGACAGGTGAATTGGGGGGGGGGGGGGGGGGGGGCAGCCATTATGTGGACACTGCACCAGACCAACACAAAAGGGCACAAATAACATTGCATTTCATGCATCCTTAAAACCCAATAACTAACTCACATGGAAAAGAGGTGAAATAATGACAACTGTGGTAATGTGCAAATTGCAAAAATGATCTACGGCATTTGATACAATTGTTCAGTGTGACTGCTTCTGACAGCCATCCAATCCAACTTACAAATTCAAAGACTTGTGTTCGAGCATTCATGGTGATGTCTCTGTGTTCTTCAATTCCGTCTTTTCCTGCAAATGTTAAAGTGGAACTTTCATGAGTGTTTTGTTAACAAACATTGAACACATAAACACACCAAATTCTATTGGCATGTAGATAGCACATACAAAATCATTAACTTCATATAAAGTCTAATGATAGCTATTTCTAAGTGATATGCATTCCACTAGAACCATGTCAGTGGAATGCAGTGAATTACCATGCAGCAAATACAATCTATTTATGGTAAGCAGTGCAAAATTACTTTGCATTGGTTTCCAGAGCCCAAGAACATTTTCATTCCACTGACAGGTTGTAAGAATCTTTGCACCTGTCAGATGAAGTGCTAGTTGCATTTATCCTTTTTCTGATGTGCTAGGGTGGGTCAAGGTCAGGAACACCCTACAGAAAAGCAAAAAATATAAGAAACATGTTCAGAACATTTTACAGGTGGAATCCTTGCTACACTTATACCTTTGCTTCTATGCTCAGGTTGGATACTTTATAGGTGCAATTATGAGGTCTTCAAGATGATATATATATATATATATATATATATATATATATATATATATACATGAATATAAGGCATCTATGCCTCATCATATATTTAAAAAACAAGTCACCACAAGCTGAGCTGGACTGTTCTGGTCCAGCATAACTCATCTCAAATCTCCTCACAATAGCTTTTAATCAGTTATTCATGTTTGGACATGAATCAAAATAAGATACAGCCATACAGTTACTGTACACATCTGCCTCCTGGCATGTATAATTGTACTAACATTATGAGCAGCATATGACAACTGACTGTATAATCATCTCGGTCTCAATGTCCTGACAGCATACTGGAGACAACATACTAAAATGTGCCTCATAGCATACATCCAAATGTCATGATTTTTTCACTCTCTTTGACTAATACTTATGATTCCAGTCCAGTTGACTGTGGCCAAATCATCTGCAAGCAAACTAATGGAGGAGATGCTGGAAAATCAAATATTCAAACTGGAGTATCATAATAGGGCAATCTGCCAGAAATCATGCAGATGCATATCATGCAAATTATATAAATTAGACATTTCATATAGTACGGAGCTCCAATGGTACAAATTAGGCACAGCAGCCATACACAATGATAAAATATGCAATAGCCTGAAAGACATGGTTGTAAAAAACAATGCAATACATCTCTTCTCTTTGAAACACTTCATCCTTGGCAGACCCAAACATTCACCCATTACGGCGCAAGGTTATCACAAAAGCGTAAGGTTTTAAATTGAGCCCACACAGATGTGGAACTGGTCCAATTTATTGCCGAAACTTAATCTCCCCACCCAGAAATGTGTGAAAACAGTCAAACACATCTCCACCTCCATACTTACTTCTGAGTCGAGTATTATGTGCGAACTTTGAATGCCCTGAGTCATTGCTTAACTCACACCACCATACAGCCACGATACCCACGCATCCTACAAAACAAGTTCACGGAACTGGCTGGTGCGTTTTCGATAAATAGCAATCATCCCAACATGACGCAGCTGCGCCAATAAGATTGCATTTAGTGGTGGGCAACTATTTGGCGGCTAAAAGTGAGTAACGGCTGAGCCAAGTAGCGGTTTGAAGAGAGCCTGGAAAATACTACGTCACCACCAACCGTATAGCCAAGTTCAAACTACTGAATTGCTGGTCAGACCTTCTTTAAACCAGCACCACTCGAAAGTTAGTATGTGGCTTCACTTCAGGGCATTGCAGTCAAGTCCAAACTCGTAAACCACTCAACCGATCTGCTTGGAACATTTACCAGAAGATAGAGCGCAGGCAGTTCCATCAGCCGTCTAGGAACTGGTGGACCGTGCGATCACTATGCGATTTGTAGAAACTCAGATCGCTATCTTCCCGTTCAAAATCGCATTAACCACTAAGGGCAGTGCAGCCAAGTCCAAACTCGGAAAGCATTCGACTGGTCTGCTTGAAACCTTTACCAAAAGATAGGACGCATGCATTTTCATTCAGCCGCTCTGAAATTTGTGATTTCTGGTTGCCATCTTTACCTTCCAAAAACAGCATAAACCACTCTAGGGCATTACATCCAAGTCCAAACTCGGAAACCACTCGACAGATCTGCTTGAAACCTGTACCAGAAGAGAGAGAGAGAGGTTGCGATTTCATCAGCCGTCCTGAAACTGGTGACCCCAGGTCACCATCTCCACCTTCAAAAACCGCACAAACCGCTTTATGGCATTGCAGCGAAGCCCAAACTCGGAAACCGCTCTCCCAATCCGCTTGGAACCTTTACCAAAAGATAGAACGCGTGCGATTTCACCAGCCGGTCTAAAACTGGGGATCTCACGTCACCACCTTCACCTTTATAAGCCACATAAGCCACTTTAGGGCACTGCAGCCAAGTCCAGACTCGGAAACCACTGCACTCCAACAATTTTAGGAAACTCCCATCGTTCCTTATGAGAGGTCGATATCGTGACGCTCACGTAACGCTCTCAAATTATTTTTTATTGCAAAACTTGCATTTTCTTGTTTTGGAAGAGCCTGTAACCATGAAGAAAGGTGCTTTATTGTGGTAAACTGGGATCCTAGATTTGAGGGGTTGCTGATGTGGCTTCGTCCCTACTGAAGGTGGGATTGTCAGTGACTCACCAGTTTTGGTGCATAACGGCCTCGGTGCATGGTTGAAGAACGGATCGCGTCTGCTTTTACATTGATATAGTAATGCCAGCGAAGAGTATTTTGACGGAATCTTTTAATGTGAAGCAGCAACTGAGTGTTAGACGAATCCATACGGACCTGAGAAAGCTTCGTAGACAATAGATCAATAGAATTTATATATACAACCAAACAACCAAGACACTTACCCAGAGTTTGAACTTACCTGACCTATTTTAGCTCCAAGGTCATGACTTAGGAGCCTCAAATTCTGACACAAGTGAGTTCACGTACATTCTAGCCTACCCTGTGAACTTGATATCTACATCTTTCTTATTTTTTCGAGACCTGCTTGGGGTTCAAGTTGACATACCCCTCCCCCCCCCCGAGCTAAGGGTATTCAACCGGCCACCGGGGTGCGTGTTAAACTTGATAAACGCGACATGAGGAACTAAATGTTGGGTCCAGCAACCGCAATTTGGTGACAACCTTAGGAGAAAGCCGTGTGCAAATGGCAATACGTAGCTAAAATAATATTGTTTAAGCCACCGAGGCAAGCCAACATTGGCAGCTCATTAATACGCTAGTTACTGTGCCTATAACAGTTTGTGGGGCCTGTCAGTCTGTTCGTAATGCGTAGGCACTGCAAATGAGGGCTGGAACTACCTCGCAAAAATAGCTTCCACCCACTGCAAATCACGGTAGCCCCCTGCCGCAAAGTCTGGCTCCGCCGCTGGGGAGAGCGCGGGGTGGGGGCAGGAGGAATATCCACTCAGGTGAAGAGAAAGACACCACCTTGAAAACATTTGATACCTCATTCAAGCAATCATTCTCCTCCGCTGCAAGTCCTTCTGAAGAACCATGCCAAATACACCAAACTTACCCATCATAAGCAATCCAGTTCAACAGCTGCAAATCTTGAGAGCCTGGTTCTTGCCACACAAACCCCTTCAAACCCTCAGGATGATAAACTTGTGGTACCCGCCAGAAAGCATCAAGGAGCAATAAAAATCCAAATCGGATGGTACATGTTCGTGGCCTGACGTGCGTCTGGCGCGCTCGGATCTGCCACGGTCGGCCGCCGCGTGACCCTCGGTCAGCGGGCATGCGCCCGTAGCCGGCGGCAGTGGGTCATGTCGCTGGAAGAGTGTCGTGGCTGGAGCTGCATCACCAATACAACGTGGAGCAGGGTAAGCTTTACACACGCGTTTTGGTAGCAGAACCAGAGGCACCACATGCCTTCATGGGTTGTTTTACATCTGAAGAATTGACGCATGCATGCAACATGATGAAATAAGCTCACTTATAACTATAGGTATACGCCTAAGAGAAAAAGACTGCTCTAGAAACCACAATTTCTCAGGATGATAAATATGCTCGTCAATGTGTTATTGTTTGATTACGTCACCGCGCCTTGCACAGCATTGGTTAAAAGCCAACCGACGGCCGCTATATCACAAAATATTGCTTGCGAACACAAGGTATGAACTGCTCGACGGTTATATCTTTCTTGACCTTGATCGCTGCATGCCAATAGCATGTCAGGATTTGAATGACTCCATCGTGGCGCCATAGATGCATGAGGGACCTTGAACTAGTCCCCTTAAAGTAGTCTGCCGGCCTTCACAGCGGTAAAGCTCAGCATCTAGACGGGTTAAGAAGAGGATTAGAGGATACTTGAGGGTTTTTAAAAATAGGTTAGAGCTGTGAACTGCACCGAATGACCGTCAAGATGGCTTTCAGTCGTTTAAAACCCCATACCTCTGTGGAACGGTCCCTTTTATCGACGATGCCTATCCGAATTCCAACTGTATCGGTTTTTGAAGGTGAATATGGTCCGCAGTTTCAGAGGAGCAAATGAGATCGTCGATGTGCTATTTGCTGAAGCTCCGAACAGACAAGCTGAGTGCCCTGCTAGTGTGGGCTTCGCTTCGGTGTGCTAAAGTGATTTATATTTTTTAGGGTGCGTATTCGTTCAGTTTCTATTCTTTCAGCTTCCCGATACTCACACTGGGAACAAAAAAGATACACAATATACATACGATAGAAGGCAGATGACAAATTATTGGCATAAGAATGTTCCATAGCTTGTCCAGCTTAGTCGGGTCTTCCGCGCGAGCAATGATGTTGTGAGAAAGTGTTGAAGAGAGAGATGAAAATCTGAGGTCACCAATTTCAGTACGCCTGATGAAATCGCATCCTCTCTCTCCTCCGTCAACGGTTCCAAGCAGATCGGTTGAGCGGTTTCCGGGCTTGGACTTGGCTGTAGTGCCCTAAAGTGGTTTGTGCGGTTTTTACAGGTGAAGATGGTGACCCGAGGTCACCAGTTGAAGTTGTCACCGAAGTCACCAGATGAAATTGCATGTGCTCTATCTTCTGGTAAAGGTTTCAAGCAGATCGGTTGAGCGGTTTCTGAGTTTGGGCTTGGCTGCAACGCGCTAGAGTGCCTTATGCGGTTTTTTAAGGTGAAGATGGCAACCTAAAGTCACCGGTTTCAGACTGGTTAATGAAACCACATACCAGCTTTCGATTGCTGCTGGTTTGAAGAGAATCGGACCAGAAGTTCCGTAGTTCCAACTTGGCTGCATGGATGGTGGTAAAGTCGTGTTGTCCGAAGAGCCTTGGGTCCAGGCTGAAAAAAACGTCGCTCCGAAATGTCCGGCGTAGCAATGACACCTCGGAAAACACATTAGTGCACGTATGCCAAAAACCGAGCGCTCTGGGCTCGCCAGCGCACAGAAAATCGATGTTTCAAGATATTTTAAAGTCGCCCAGTGATTTAACCCGGCCAAAGATCGGTTCACGCGAGCGCGGGATTCAGCGCACCAAATGTCGCGTGAGTGTCCGGTGCAGCGGATGAATTTTTCTAGACTGACCTTTAACACGCGCTCAGGTTGGGTGGGAGGACAATTCGACCCCCCTCAAAGGCTTCTCCAGAATGATTTCCGAACGGAGCGGCGTTGTCGCGCTAAACTGTGCATAGCTGTAGAGAATTGAGTTGCGTATCTTTTTATGTAAAAAATCAAACCTACCCTGTAAAATTACTTTTTCAAGGGCCTCTTCTGGGCCATTTGAATCCATACGGGATGGGGAGGGGGTTTCCATGCTCGTCCCGGTAGCTCAGCTGGTTAGATCGCCTGTATTCCGATTCATGGGTGTCCATTTCTCAAGATGTTTGGGGGGCGGAGTCTTGGAAACCGCCATAAGGGGAATAGTGCCTTTTTTCTCCCGGATGTCGTTTGTTCTGACTTTCCATGACACCCACACCCACACCCACAACCCCACCCCCACACCCTCCCCCCATATATATATATATATATATATATATATATATATATATATATATTTACTCCTTCATATGCTTTTAAACATTAGTTACATCAGCATACATTTATTACCTTTTTTGAGCTGAAAGGGTGCACTTGCACCTCTACAGCATACTGAAAAGTGAAATATGTGCATAATTCATTAATATAGCTGTGCTCGGTGAATGTCAGCTCCCCTGACGCAGCAGACCATCACCACCAGACTATCAGATCGCCAAAGGGTTTGCAGTACGATCTGATGTCAATGGAGAGGTACTATGCAGTCCCGTCACACGGGCGAGGCACGTCTCTCCGGTCCCGTGACTCTGGTAGCCATTTGGAGATGGCAGCGTTGGCTCGTTTTACGGTTGTCGTTAAGTTGCTGGGTCTTCTTAATGGTGACTGAAAAATGACAGATGAACAGCCTTTATTAGGTGATGTCTGCCCGGTACATAAATTTCCTTCTGAACTATGCCTCAAATCGAGCACGTTTTTTTATTTCTACCGCTTTTAACCGAGAAGCGATTGTTTTAAACTTACTTTCCCCAG